GACAGGGCTCCCTCATTTTCAGCGCTGAATGCAATTGCCAGATTTTTGTTTTCTTCACTATATCTCCGAGAAAGAGCTGTCATTCCCCCGCCACTAAAGTAAACAAAGGGGCGGGGTTCACTGGGTAATCCGCCCCTATGTTTACTTTTGCGGCAGAGCGAATGACAGCTCCTTCTCAGAGATATAGTGAAGAAAACAAAAATCCGGCAATTGCATTTAGCGCTGAAAGTGAGGGAGCCTGTCTGTATACATACACTGTATACACCCCTCACTTGTATGCTATCATGGGCAGCACAGTGACTAAATGGTTAGCACTTCCCCCTGGCAGTACTAGGGTTGTTGGTTCGAATCCCAACCATGGCACCACCTGCCTGGAGTTTGCATGTTTTGCCTGTGTGGGTTTCCTCCGGGTACTCCGGTTTCCTCCTACACTCCAAAGACATGCCAATAGTAGGAATTAGCTCCTGTCTAAATTGGTCCCTAGTATGTGTATGTATGAATGTAAGTTAGGGACCTTAGATTGTATGCCCCTTGTGGGTTATGGACTGATGTGAATGTACAATATATATGTAAAGCTATATAAGTATCTGAAATAAAATAATATAGGGGACGATTGGTCCCAGCAATAAAATCAGTTAAAAGTTAAAAAAATAAATAAAAACACAAATTAAAAGTTAAAAAAAAAAAAAACAATTGAGCCTCCCCACACCCCCACATACACAGACATTTCAGTTTTCGGCCAAGTGCATACTGAATTTTCGGTTTCGGTGCCAGAATTTTCATTTCAGTGCACCACTAGATTTAACAAAAAAAAGAAAAATTAAAACATTGTTCACTTTAAAAATAACTAGTTTTACTGTAGCTAATTTTTAATTTTAAAAATTTGTTCCAATTATAATGAATATAAGTTTCTAGTACAAAGTAGAGCGAAGATTTTTTACAAATAAAAATTAAGCCTTTTTTTCTGATTTTGTGAAGTCTGTCTTCGCGTTCCATACGTTTTTAAAAACAGTAATAGAGCACAGAAATAAGATATAGCAGCATTGATTTTAGATATCTAGAATGGGTTATAGAAAAATGCATAGGGGAGGGCAAGGCTGACAATTGCCTATTCCCTAGTGGAAGGCAAACAATACAACCATCATAATAGTCCATCTCGCAGAGCAATGTTTTTTAAAAAAAAGGAGTAGCGCTAAAGGTGAAAAGCATAGAGTATATCTTTTATGGAACATAACAGATACAAACAAAAAAACTAAATATAATAACTAAGAGCGGAAGGGTAGGAAGGAGTTAATTATGTTAAGGGGGGGGGGGGTTTAATGAAATACACGCTACTTTATACACAGTGCATATGTATGTATATACTTTTTATATATATATATATATATATAAACTTTTTTTTTTTTTTTTTTTTTAAATGTACTTTTCCTCAGACATTTTAATAGATGACTGTTGATTGTTTTTTCTGTTTTTATGGGCTTTCAAGGATGGAAAAAAATTGTTAAAACGATAGACGGTATAAAACATGACCTGGGCAGAGTCCAGAAGATTGGGAGAAGTCAGTGAATCTCTTGAATGGAAAATAAACACCAAGTTCACCATAGAGACCTGACCTTCACTCCACATTAGAGGAAGTGGAAAAAGAATTGTCAGCGCAAAGACACAGCTGGCCAGTGGAACGGAGGAAGATGGAAGGTGAACAAACCGGAGGGGTGACCTCATTATACTACCCTTCCATCAGCACAGATATCGGCAGTAAAATTCCACCTTCTATACCATGGTCAAACCTACAATTCATTTTCTTGAAATCTTAAAAGCAGTATTAAACCCAAAAGCAAACAATTATATTGCAGCTTACCAATTCTTAGATGTGATGGCTGCATTTGTTTACTTTTATGGCTTTCTTCTATTTTCATCTGGTGATCTGGCCAGCAAGTCTGTGGATTTTCTAAAGCACAAGTTCTCCAGCAATATGTATGAGTTTACATGGATAAGACAAACCATTTACCACTGGCAGGGGTGATTAAAATGATCAGCTTTTTATAAATAAATGTAAAACCTTTATCCCAAAAGAAGAAAAAAAAAAACTGTTTGCTGGAGCGGATATAAAGCATGAATTGGAGTTTGGCTTCAATTTGTTAGTGTATATAAATCTGCTAATACATTTAACACGGCCCTCCCTCAGACTGATAATGCTGCTGTCTGCTGTGCCTAATGTGCTCATTCATCCAGAGTAGTATCTCACTAATAAAGGGAGTGTGTTACTGGCCAGATCAACAGGTGAAAACAGAGGGGGAACAAGCCAAAGAAAAGAAAAACTGATGCCACCACATCGAATGATTGGTTAGCTGCAAAATATAAAATTTTTGGTTTTGGGTTTAATACCACTTCAAATACAAACAGATGTAAAAAAAAAAAAAAAAAAAGAATTAATAAAAAAAAAAAGCTAATTTGACCAGTGTCATAAAACAAGTATTACTATAGCTATATTTTATTCTATAATTTTTTCCCAATTATAGTAAATAATAAATACAGTCAATGTAATGCAGTCAAAAGCATGGCAAATTTGCTAATGAAATTAAAGTTTTTAAAAAACATTGTGATGTTACAAGTTCAACAAAAACAAACAACCATTTTTTTTTTTTAAAGTCTGCATAGGGATAATTAAAAAAGAAAAAAAAAAAAGTTGCTGAGAGCAGAAACATAGGAAGGCATTAATTAGGGTTATTGAAGGGTTAAGAAGAAGAACAATTTTTGCTGGAATTTTTTTTTTTTTTATGCCAGGTGTTGCTGAAGTGGACATCATATGAAGATCAAATCACACTTCTTGGATTTAAAACGATAATATTATTAAAAGCATTTATGAATGAACACTGCAATTGTTTACTGGCTTCATTCACACAGAATCCACTAACTGTGCTTCTCAGATCATGAGAAGGACCCCAATGTTAAACTGAAAGCCAGTCCTGGCATTTTCACCAAGCAGCGTCGGCTACACAGAAGGACTGTTCAAGGTGAGTTTTTTTTTCCTGAGCATTAAAATGCTGAAATCACTAAATACAAAATTGTTAGATAGAAAATTGGACGGGGGCAGGAGAGACATTCAATCTCACCTGTCCTCGTGTAGTGGTTTTATAGGTGCCACACCCCTATTTAATCATGAAAAAAAAGCAAAAACCCTAACAGAGAAAAAACTAATGGGGCTTTTCAAGGCACCATACCATATGAAAGTATAGAAATGCACAACATGTGTTTTCATGTTGTGCATTTCTATATTTCAGAAGGTATGGTGCCTTGAAAAGCCCCATTAGTTTTTTCTCTGTTAGGGTTTTTGCGCTTTTCACTAAATACAAAACCAGCTAAACACACATATAAAAGTAATGCACTTTTTGATATAGATAGGATGGAAAAAAAATTGTAAAACAATTGAAAAAGTTTAAAAAAAAAAAAAAAAAGATCTGAGCAGAGTCCAGAAGATTGGGAGAGGTCAATGCAGAGCTGGGACAAGAGGTGGGCAGGAGGGGCAGCTGCCCTGGGCGCAATGGTTTATTGCAGGGATGGGGGCAAATGAATCCTTCGGTTACAAGGCTGACATGAGTAATGACAGCAACATCACTACTCTTGTCAGCCCAGCAATGGGAGCCGTGAGGAGAGAGCTGGGAGGAGGTGCGGGCCGCGCACTCCCTAAGTGGATCCCGTACTACATCATGAAGGGGAAGGAGGGGGCACAGTTTCGGCATCTTTGCCTTGGGCGCTGGATGACCTTGTCCCAGCATTGGGTCAGTGAATCTCTTGGATGACAAAATAAAGACCATGTTCTCCATAGAGACCTGACCTTCACTCCACATTAGGGGAAATGGAAAAAGAATTGTCAGCGCAAAGACACAGCTGGCCAGTGGAACAGAGGAAGATGGAAGGTGAACAACAGGAGGGATGGGCCTTGTAATGCTACCCTTCCATCAGTGCACATAGGAGCAGTAAGACTCCACATGTATATCATGACTCACAAGTCATCTATTTAATGTCTTAGGCTACATGCAAGGGTGGACTGACAAGTAACGGGGCCCCCAGGCAATAGGGGATCATGGGGCCCCTGTGTCCTTGCCTAAACTCAAAAAAAGCCTATGAAAAAGGTACCAGGGGCATCTCATGGGGCCCCCTACTGACCCCGGGCCCTCGGGCAGTGCCCGAGTTTCCAAATGGTCAGTCCGCCCCTGACTCCATGCACACTAGAGTTCTTTACGCTCCTAGAAGCTGTTATCAGCTATTTTCTCTGCTCCTATAAACTAAATAGTGTGATCCTACGTGTCCATGCACAATACTCTATGTTAGCAGCATTTTTCAAGCTTCAGCATTTAGGAGCAGAAAACATTTTTTTTGTAGGATTTTTGGAAGCGCTTTTCCAGCAGAACACAAAAAAAAAACGCGGAGGTTCCATGCACACTAGCGGGTTTTTTTTTTCTGCAAAAAATGCTGGTAATAGCATTTTTTAGTAGTGTTTAAGTAGTGTTCAGGAGTGTCAGAATTTCATTACATGTTTACAGTACATGTAGAGGGGAAAAAAAAATGTTAGGATAGTTTTAATAGCGTTTAGCAGCATTCAGGGGCGTTTATGAGCATTTAGCATTTTTTTTTGCTGGAAAAATGCTAAAAAAAAAAAAAAGAACTTTACAAAAACGTTTTTTTTTTTCTGCTCCTAGACGCTAAAGCACAAAATATGCTAAAGGCCTAAAGCAGTGTGTATGGACACATAGGATAACTTTATTTAGCTTCTAGGAGCAGTAAAAAAAACATGCTGATAATAGCTTCTAGGAGCTAGAAAACCGCTAGTGTGCATGGAGCCTAAACGCTACTAAAACTGCTTTTTTTCTAGCTTTTTTTTCCTACATGTACTGTAAAAAAACACGAATACTCCTAAATGCTCCTAAAAAAACGCTTTTTACCAGTGTTTTAAATCCAGCGGTTTTTGAGCTTAAAGAAAAAAAAAAAAAACACTAGTGTGCATGGAGCCTTAAAGTCAGGACCCTCATTCACTGTATCTGGTCTCCCTGGACCCTGCATTCACTATATCTGGTGTCCCCGGACCCTGCATTCACTATATCTGGTGTCACCCCGGACCCTGCATTCACTGTATCTGGTCTCCCAGGACCCTGCATTTACTATATCTGGTCTCCCCGGACCCTGCATTCACTATATCTGGTCTCCCAGGACCCTGCATTCACTATATCTGGTCTCCCCGGACCCTGCATTCACTGTATCGGTCTCCCGGGACCCTACATTCACTGTATCCGGTCTCCTAGGACCCTGCCATTCACTATATCCGGTCTCCCAGGACCCTGCATTCACTATATCCGGTCTCCCCAGGACCCTGCATTCACTATATCTGGTCTCCCCGGACCCCTACATTCACTATATCTGGGTCTCCCCGGACCCTGCATTCACTATATCTGGTCTCCCCGGACCCTGCATTCACTATATCTGGTCTCCCCGGACCCTGCATTCACTATATATTCTGGTCTCCCCGGACCCTGCATTCACTATATCTGGTCTCCCCGGAACCTGCATTCACTATATCCCGGTCTCCCGGACCCTGCATTCACTATATCCGGTCTCCCCGGAACCTGCATTCACTATATCCGGTCTCCCCGGACCCTGCATTCACTATATCCGGTCTCCCCGGACCCTGCATTCACTATATCCGGTCTCCCCGGACCCTGTATTCACTATATCTGGTCTCCCCGGACCCTGCATTCACTATATCGGTCTCCCCAGACCCTGCATTCACTATATCTTGTCTCCCTGGACCCTGCATTCACTATATCTGGTCTCTCCGGACCCTGCGTTCACTATATCTGGTCTCCCTGTACCCTGCATTCACTATATCTGGTCTATATATACACACAACATGGAAATGTAATTGTTTTTTAGTAAATATAAACTGCTAAATACCTTTTCTCATCAGCAGTTAGAGCAGCCTGGAGACTTCTATCAGTGTCCAGCAGAGCAATGGGTAAAAGCTTGTAGGAGGAGTTTTTATTTTGCTGTAGGAGGATGCAGGACCTCTGTCTGGACAGTGCTGATTGTCCCTGTGCTGATCACATGCACCCTCCCAAAGTAAGAAAAAAAACTCTCTAGCAATACACACCAAACTGAGCATGTACAGCTTGCTCCCAAGGCTCTGCTCTATCAGCAGATGGATTGGGCACAGTAGAAGGGGAGGATCAGAGAAGACAGGATCAAAACAGACTTTTTACACAATGCAGAGAATTAACCCCTAAGGTTCCACAGGGAGTATAACAAGCATGCTTTACTGCATCTACAGACTGATTTTATGGTTGGAGGTTTAGTAACATTTTAAATATGTTTTTCTCCATCACTGAAAAAAAAAAAAAAAAAAAAAAAAAAGACAGAAATAGAAGAAATGGTTTTAACTGGCCTTGGGTGGCTCCAGGCAAATATCAAAAATTCTGATCATGGCAAGTGGTTTATAAAACTTTAATATCACTTTAAACACACTTTAGTTGACATTTAGAGTGACATCCAAGCTTTGTTTCAAATGTTAGACATTTTAAAACATGAAGTATGCTGACAGCCTTTAGTTAACAACAGGGGCGGACTGACAACTCATGGGGCCCCCGGGCAATTAGGGGATCATGGGGCCCCTGTGTCCTTGCCCAAACTCAAAAAAAAGCCTATGAAAAAGGTACCAGGGGCATCTCATGGGGCCCCCTACTGACCCCGGGCCCTCTGGCAGTGCCCGAGATTCCAAATGGTCAGTCCGCGCCCCTGGTTAACAAACATAACCAAACATTCAGTTAGGAGCGGCTCACATTGTTACACTGTAAAAAGCACAAAAACGTACATTGCGCACTGTGGTGCTATTCATCCTTAGAGGCTCCCAGCACACGTACATTGCAGTGCACCACAATGGACAATAATGCATTACTGTGGATTGTGGTGCACTGCATTACAAAATTAGCATATTAACCTTTTTTCATTTGTTAGCAAGCTCATTCAAATGCATGTGCGGTCTTTATACAACGCTCATCACTGTGCGCGAATAATAGTGCAAATACTGCCTTAAAGTGGATGTAAACCCTTACATATACCCAGTGAAGTGACCGGCCACAGGGGATACTCATAGATGGAACAAATCCTCTTACATAAGCTGTACCTGTGTATCAGTCCCAAATTTATACAGCTTGTCTAAGCTGTCAGAAAAAAAAAAAAAAAAAAAAGGGACAGCCAGCTGAAGTTACAGACTGCAAAGCTTAGTGAGGAGAGCTCTGAGAGCTGATTGGAGGGAAGGGACACACACCCCCTTCACACAGCTCACAGGAACAGAGTGGATGCTGTCAATCTACTGGAGGTCCCTCCCCTGTCACCATTTTCCTCTTGGTGTCAGGAAAACTTGCCAGAAGGGATTCCTGCTGATAGCAGAGCAACGAAGCAGCAGACAAAAATTACACTTAGTGCTCTGGTATGAGACAAGTACACACTATACATGGATATGCCTTGTTCATTTTTCATGTCTGAGGTTTGCAGCCATTGTAAAGTACAGAAATCAGTGGAGAACTGACCACTGTATGCACTCCTGGCAGTGTATTTGCCGCTTTCAGACGGGGCGGACCCATCAGCGGATCCACTTGCTCAGCGGGGGATCTCTCCGCTGAGCAAGTGGATGACAGGTCTGTGTCTGCTCCGCTGGTGCAGAGCAGACACAAACAAAGCCCACTGTTTTCTACTGGGTTGAATGGAAACGGACCACCTGTCCGTTACCATCCGGCTGTCATCAGATTCAATTCGCCGGACGGGTGAGGAACAGATCCCCATCCGTCTGCTTTTAGCATACAGGATCAAATCGGATGCTGGTGGGTTTCAGCAGACACATATCTGCTGACACCCACTGCTTCATAGAGCACTATGGATGGTCTGATAGGGTCTACCTGAAAAACAGGCAGATGGATCCTATTGGACAGTCAGTGTGAAAGGGGCTTACAGTTCATCCCAAGGATTTTGCTGGACAGCTTGGTCTGCAGATAAAGGTAGAGGAAAATAAAAGGGCATGTGGCATGTGCTGGTGGGTTTCAGCAGACACATGTCTGCTGACACCCGCCTCTCCATAGAGAGCTATGGATGGTCTGATAGGGTCTACCTGAAAAACAGGCAGATGTATCCGATTGGACAGTCAGTGTGAAAGGGGCTTACAGTTCATCCCAACCTTGTAACTTTCAAAGTAAATGTTACAAGGCAAGAATGAACTGTAAGCCCCTTTCACACTGACGGTCCAATCGGATCCATCTGCCTGTTTTTCAGGTAGACCCTATCAGACCATCCATAGCTCTCTATGGAGAGGCGGGTGTCAGCAGACATGTGTCTGCTGAAACCCACCAGCACATGCCACATGCCCTTTTATTTTCCTCTACCTTTATCTGCAGACCAAGCTGTCCAGCAAAATTCTGGACAGCTTTGTCTGCAGATAAAGGTAGAGGAAAATTATATAGGCATGTGAAATAATAAACAAGAAGGAATTCATAGACTGACTGCTATGATTACAGTTATTAACTCCATACATTTACCAGAATATAACATTTTCCCTATTGTTGTTCTTTAATCTCGGACTGGAGACGGATCCACTTTGATGAGTACAAATGCATACTCTCTGAAGCTGGACTATAGATTTCCTACGCAGTGGTCTTTCGATCCCTGGAAATGTCATCTTTCAGGCGTTTACTGTCATCATTCCAAAGAGTCCATTTCTAAATGGCAATTTTTTTTTTTTTCCTGATAAAATCTGCTAATTTTAGCAAGTATGAGGCAGGCTGGAGATTTATAGAATATATGTGGAAAGAGGGTGATGTTTCCTTCCATTACTTAAATCATTCCCAACCACTTCACACCATAGCTTGTCATCTCCGCCTGCTCTCCTCTCCAGTTTAATGATGGGAATCATATATGAAGTCACGTTTCACAAGATCAGAATTGCTGTTTGGAAACTGTCATTAAAATTTACAGTAGTGAATGAGTTTGGTAAGATTATGAATTACAGCACTTTTCCAGTTCATAAAGCCAGCAGTGTTTTAGGTTCTCTACAGCCCTGTACTGTGAGGAGGTCTATCTCCTGAAAGTGCCATTAAAAAAAAAAAAAAAAAAAAAAGACAGTAGATCTTTGCAATATATGTACGGATAAAAAAAAAATGCTAGTATAGAAAAGTGGAGCTGGATTTCAACGTGTATCTAAAGCAAAAATTATTTTTTGTAGAAGCAAATTCTTGGCTGCTGTAATGCAATGCTGCTGTCTACAAGACCTGACCAGCTGGATCAGGGGTCTCCAGACTCTTCAGTACAAGGGCCCCATCATTTATTTTACAAATATTCTCAGACCAAAAAAAGTCAGTTTTAAAAATGAATAAATACAATTTAAATGAATGAGTTAAAGTGTTACTAAACCCACAACAGTAAAATCAGTCTGTATATGCAGTAAAGCATGCTTGTTATACTCACGGTGGAACCTAAGGGGTTAATCCTCTGCATTGTGTAAAACAGCTGTTTGATCCTGTCTTCTCTGCTCCTCCTCTTGTTCAAATATGCACGCTGATAAGACAGGACTGAACCTGTAGCCCTTCTACTTATGCTCAGTTCAGTGTGTATTGCCAGAGATTTTTTTTTTTTTTTTTTCGGGAGAGTACATGTGATCAGCACAGGGCCAATCAGCACTGTCCAGACAGAGGGTCAGGGGTTCTGCATCCTGCTAGACCAGAAAGAAAACTCCTCCTAAGAGCTTTAACCAGTGCTCAGCTGAAGTCACAAGCCTGTTGTAACTGCTGATGAGAAAAGGTATTTAGCAGTTTATATTTACTAAAAAAAAAAATTGCATTTCCATGTTGTGTGTACTGTGGGAGACCAGATATAGTGAATGTGGGGTCCTGGGAGACCAGATATAGTGAATGCATGGGGGTCCTGGGAGACCAGATATATAGTGAATGCAGGGTCCTGGGAGACCAGATATAGTGAATGCAGGGTCCTGGAGACCAGATATAGTGAATGCAGAGTCCTGGGAGACCAGATATAGTGAAATGACAGCAGGGTCCTGGGAGACCAGATATAGTGAATGCGGGGTCCTGGGAGACCAGATATAGTGAATGCGGGGTCCGGGGAGACCAGAATATAGTGAATGCGGGGTCCGGGGAGACCAGATATAGTGAATGCAGGGTCCTGGGAGACCAGATATATTGAATGCGGGGTCCTGGGAGACCAGATATAGTGAATGCGGGGTCCTGGGAGACCAGATATAGTGAATGCGGGGTCCTGGGGGAGACCAGATATAGTGAATGCGGGGTCCGGGGAGACCAGATAAATAG